AAAGTCTTTCCAGCGTGGGCCTTTCTCTCTATCCCTGTGGATAGCAGGCTCCTGACACCTCCTAAGTGATTAACCAATGCTTATTGATTAATTGACTGACTGACAGCACCTAGCAGAACGTCTGCTTACTTTGTATAGCCTTTGAGAACCAGGAGTCACCTGGATGCCACAGTGAGAGGTCAGAGAAAGACTCCAGAAGGAACTCGTGTGTGTGTGTGTGTGTCCCTCACAAATTGTCCTGTAGCATCCAACTACTCCAGTTTTGCAGGTACCTTGTTCAGATGCCTAGCAGAACATTCTACATACAATTGGTGACTGATAGTTGTAGAATTTAAATATGTAAAAGCAAAGGAACATTGGCCTAATGTTCTCTGTGGTGGTTTGCATGGTTTGAGTTCCCACCAACAGTGTCATTATAAGACGGGGTCATTTAGTCCAGTGTCCTTATTTTAAAGGTAAGAAGCCTGAGGCCCTGGGCTCAAGGTCACATAGCGAGGTCACGGATCCATTGGAAGTTGGAACATTTTAGTACTATTAGTACAATCTATTTCTCTACTGCCCTTATGGGGCATGAGCTTTTAAGGGACTATAGAAATATGAGTTATTAAAAGCCAGTTTGTCAAGCCAATGAGAGAAATCTAGTATGGCAGAGAGAATGCTTTCTGTGGGCAGGAGACTTTGCTCTTAACCAATTCTGGACAGGGGAGCCCTTTTTTCTTATGTGTAGAGAAGCCCTTAGGAGACTGAATTAGAAAGGCTCAGAGGGCGGAAGTGTCTGCTACTGCGGCAGGATTCTACTCAAAAAAGGGGAAAACTTGCTAAGCATCAGAGCTGTCCCGAAGTAGAGGGAGCTTCCTCTGGAGGTCTCAGACGCCCCTCTGGCTGGCCCGCTTTGGGCAAAGGCATGGTCTGTCAAAGGACTTCTCAGCAAGGGACCGGCCAGCCTCGTGGCTCCCAAGGCCCCTCCCAGATCTAAGAAGCTTCCTGAGAATCAACTCATTGTGGTCAGAACTGAAGTTTCACTCCCTTGTAATTTACTGAAAGAAAAATCATTTCCCCTTGCAGGAAAAAGTGAGTGGAACATACAACTTTCATGTTAAGTGATGTACATCAGTCTCTCGATAATTGCTTGTGTGCCTAGCGCTGTGTGAAGAAGCAGCTGTGGCCATGAGAAATGTCACAGGAGAATATAAGACAGTTCCTCTCCCAGAGCAGCCAAGTTTTGGGTGGGGGAGGGGATGAGTGCCGTGGAGAGTCAAGGGTGATGAAGTTGGGGACCATTGGGGTTTACACAGGCTGCCTGGGATGCCCTCCCGCCTCATCGCGGCCTCTTGAAAACCTCAGCTTCCTTCAGAACACGGTTCAGGAGCCACCCCCTACAGAAAGCCTTCCTGGATTACCAGTACTCTCTTCCTCTTGAAATTACTTTGAATCATTTTGAATATTCTTTGTATTTACTTATCTATGCATAGGATGTTTTCCCCTAGTAGGATACAAGGGGGAAACCACTGTGTTTTTATTTGGGGCATATAACTGCAGAGATCCTAATCTCCTTCATTGTAACTCACATTTAAATCCTTAAAAACATGTCACAGTTTTGTCCTTTATACAAAGTGTAACCAAGAGGTTTGTTAAAAAGCACCAACCTCACTTAGACTGGATGTTAAACCCATGATACTATTGAAGAGTCAGTCAGTCAGTGTGCATGTATTATGCTCTTACTATGTGTCAGGCACTATGCTAAGCCCTGGGGATACAAGAAAGGCAAAAGACAGTCCCTGCCCTCAAGAAGATTACAGTCTAAGGGGAGAGACAGCAAGCACACAAATATGAACCAGCTATATACGGGCAACATAGGAAATAATCCCCCCTTCCCCGAAGGGAGGCATAAGCATTACCTCTGCTGTGTGCATCCTGGGTCCCACTTATGTGAACATGCTGTGTGTCTCCCTCCCCAGCCCTGGGGAATGTAAGCTCCTGGAGGGCAGGAACTGCTTGGATTTTGAATTTGTATCTCTATTGCTTAGCGCACTGCCTGGCCCAAACGAGACTGTGACACACCTTGGCAAGTGATGTTAACCTCTCTGGGTCCCAGTTCCCTCCCCTCTGAAATGAGGGGCTTAGACTAGCTGACCTCTAGGGCCCGTCAGCTCTGAGTCAATCCTCCTGTCTTCGGAGGGGCCTGAATCCTGGAGGGGTAATGGTATCCTAATTGGGACACGCAGCCGCCACGAGGTGGCAGCAAACCACGGCAGATCCCTGGAGCACATGCACCATCTCTCCAGCCACAGCTTTGCCTGGGATTGGCCTTGGGGATTCTCTTGTGAAATTATCCCTTCCCGATTCAGCGTCCCCTTAAAACTGATGCAATGTCTCTGGCCGATTCGGAAACGTTAGGACAAATGGGCTGGGAAGGAGTTTGGTTTCATTCAAACCCGATTAGGATGCAAAGTTCTATTGCATACCCATTAATAAAAATCACTTTAACCTTGATGCTGGAGATGGAGCAGGGTGACCAATAGTATATACCTCTTTTAAGCTCCACCAGCTACCTTCTTCACACTAGCCCTGCCAGGCAGATATCGCAAGTATTTGCATTTTGCAGACAAGGAAACTGAGGCACAAAGAAATTAAGTGACTTCCCCAGGGTTCCAGAGCTAAGTGTCAGAGGTCCTCTCTCCCCTGACACAATGGTAATTCCCTCTAATGACTGAGATCTTCCAAATTGGAGCCTTTCCACCTTCGGCTCGTTTATTCCTTGAGTTCACTGCTGGACTAATTGCTCTTTTTAGACACACTGTGTCCCCAAAGTCTTCATGTTAAATAGCAATTAAAACCATTAAAGGTTTAAAATACTTTTGGGACCTCCTGTATAGACCTAGAAGTACATCTGACATTTTCAACCAATTACAAGCCATTTCCTGCGCAGCACCATCTGTCTTCATCCAATATTCAAAAGACTCCAATCTTCTCTAATTGATTAAGGAGTTGTTTCACATCTAGTTTACACTGTTGATTGATTGATTGCGGTTGGGTATCTAAGTCTTCTGTGATTAGCTGGGTTTAGGGCAGAACCTCACTCTTACATATGTACCTCATTAATGATGAACCTTAAATAATATTAATATAACTACATAATTAATAGCAATAATAGCTGACATTTATATAGCACTTTGAGGTTAGCAAAGTACTTTACAAATACTCTCTCTCTCTCTGATCCTCATAACAACAGTAACAGATGCTATGATCCCCATTTTACAGATGGCCAAACTAAGCATTCAGAGTTTAAGTGCAGTTTGAAGCTTTAATAGTTTCAGTAACTATCAAAGCTTAAAACTGCATCTGAGTTTTAAGGCAGAATTTGAACTCAGGTCTTACTGACTCCAGGTCCAGAAATCAATCATAGTTGTTTTACACTTACATTTGTAAGATAGAGATAATGGATGCCTTTCTCTTGGGATTGTGAGGATGCAGTGATATAGATCTTCTGTGGCGCCATCTTCATGGACCTCTTTCACTGTTAGCTATTATTATATGATAATTCTTTTTCAGTGGAATGTTGTGATGATGCCTATGAATATTCCATGACTTAATAATGCACACAATTCCAAAAAGTGAACCAGGCAAGGAAAGAATTGAAAGCAAAGTTATATTTCAAGTAATAATTTCAAAACAAAGAAATACACTTCCTTGTTGTGTAGGAAAATCTGGATAATGAGGAAATTATTTTCTGGCAACAGGAAAGAACCTTTAATCCTGCTTTGTTGTTTATTAGCAAAGTGCCCTCTTCATTATGTTCAGGAAGCCATTTAGCAGAGACCCACACTCGATTAAGCTATTCCCAAAGAAATTCCGCTGGGATTGAACAAGGCTGTTTTTCAGAAATCTATAAACCCAGTTTTAAAAAACTCGCTCTGGGGGGACAACATGGGGTATATTTTGTGGGACCTCTGCAGCAATAGTGTGATTCTCCATGTCCCTAGCGTACATTTTTAAAAGGGACAACTTGAACAATTCAGAATATCAGGATGACCTAGCAATCAGGGTCTGAGGATCACAGATTTAGAGCTAGAAGGAGCCTTTTATTTTGTAGATGAATAAATGGAAACATGGAACGCTGTCCAAAGCCACACAGTTGTAATCCTCAAAAATGGAATTTGCACCCGGGTCCTGATCCCGAGTTGGCACTATTTCCACCGAACCATGTAGCCTCCTAAATGATGAGAAAGCTGATTTTTAAAATTGCTTGGTGGAATTTCTCCTGTCTGCTGAGGGGAGAGCACCCCTCACCTGATCTTATGCAGCTTTGAAAAGAGAATTGTGGGTAAAAAGAGTTCTAGGATGCCCTAGTCAGATGGAGGAAATTTGCTGCTAAACCCCCCCCCTTCCCTCTTCCTTTTCCCCCTCCCTTTCCCCATAACCCCTGCTTTCTAGAGTCCTTTAGTATGGTCCATGTTGGTTTTTGCAGAAGGTTCAGAGTAAAGACTGATTCCAAGGATTTCTGGTGCACCATCTCTGTCCTGCCTTGAGATCTCCCGAAATATCAGTTAGACAAAACCAGGCTTCTTTTGCAGATCCTCCTGATGGTTGTGGAAGGGTGAAACTGAGACAGCTTTGGAGGTTCAAGGAAACTGAGGGTTATGACTACATCAGCACGGGGGAGCCTTGCAACACATCTTCTGAGTCAGGTCTCTTGGCCCCGGGAAATAAGCCTCCATTGGTACTTTCAGTGCAGATGCCTTGCAAGATCAATAAAGCCACATTCTAGTTTTCTTGACATTAAGCAGTTTTTATAGGCCGTGCAATACATGCTTCTCCTTCTGATTTACCTGATAGAAATATTTATTTAAACGCTGTTGCCTTTAGTTCACCTTCCAAGCCAGTAAAAGTTGCTGGCTGACTTCCATCATCACCAGGCGAGCAGAGAAACTGGTTTTCAGGCAAATCTCCCACCTGAGCCATAATGTCACCATGCTAACATTGTCTTCTTTTTCTCCAAGTTCCTCAGGTCTCCTTGAAATCCTTCCAAGGCCAACCTCACCATATTGTAGCTCCAAGTGCTTCCATCTTTAAAGACCATTTGACTTCCGGTAAGAATAATGTAATAGCTCACATTTCCATAATGCTTTAAAGGTTATAAGGTTCATCTCACATCAGCCGTGTGAGGTGGGTATGCCAAGTGTTATTATCATTCCAGTTTTTAAGATGAGGAAACTGAGGTCCAGAGAAGTTAAGTAACTGGTCCAGGGTCACGAGCTATTACGTGTTGGTGCTGGCAAGTGAACAAAGAAATATTTAGGTGGCAAGGGAAGAGTGTGGGATTTTGAGTCAGGGTACTTGCAGTCAACAAAATGCTAAACCAGTTCCTGTCCTCAAGGAGCTTACGGTCTAATGCAGGAGACAACATGTGCCCATGAATATATGCAGAACAACAATTACTACAACAATAACTGGGCTTTATAAGTGGCATCTTAAAGCTTGCAAAGGTGCTTTACATATTTTACATATTTTATTGCATATTTACATATGTTATCTCATTTACAATTACCCTGGGAGGTAGGTGCCATTATTATCCTAATATTACAGATGAGGAACCTGAGAGTGAGGGAAGGTAATTGGCTTAACCAGGGTCACACTGCTAGTGTCTGAGGCAAGATTTGAACTCAGGTCTTGCCGACTCCAGGACCACCATTCTATATAGTCACAGTGTCACTCAGCTGCCAGAGATGTTGGAGGGATGGAGTCAGAAATGGGGGTGCGAGTTAGGAGCTGAGGATGACTCTGTGGTTGTGAGCCTGGATGACGGGAAGGAGGGCAGTTCCCTCCCTGCGACACTCCTCTGCTGGCTCGTTTCCAAATAGACACAAAATCATGAATGACCACTCGTTAGGTCCCATCATCATTCAATCGGTCGGACTCCGCTCAACTGCCCTTTTACCAAGAATATAGCTCATTCTTTTTTCCTACAATGAGAACACAAAAGACTTCATTAAACTCTTTGCTGAAATCCAGGTAACTTATGTCCACAGCACTTCCCTAATCTATCGCTCTAATAACCTTGTCAAAAAATTCTAACCTGGTCTCTTTGGACAGCTCACCCTTTTCTTCTTCAATGGAATTATTTTTGGATCATCAGACTTTCTTTTATTTATTTATTTTTAATAATTTATTAATTTTTAGTTTTCAATATTTACTTGCATAAGATTTTGAGTTTTAAATTTTCTCCCCCTCTCTTCTCCCCCCTCCCCAAGACAGTGTGCAGTCTGATATAGGTTCTACTTATACATTCATATTAAGCATATTTTTTCATTAGTCATGATGTAAAGAAGAATTAGAACCAATGAGAGGAACCATGAGATAGAAGAAACAAAACAAAACCACAAAAGAAAAGGAGAGCAAATACTCTGCTTCCATCTGCATTCAGACTCCATAATTCTTTTTCTGGATGTGGATAGTATTTTCCCTCATCGGTGTTTTGGAGATGTCTTAGATCCTTGCATTGCTGAGAAGGGCTAAGTCTATCAGCGTTAGTCATCGTACAACGTGGCTGTTACTGTGTACAATGTTCTCTTGGTTCTGTTCACTTCACTCAGCATATAAGTCTTTCCAGGTCCTTCTGAAGTCTGCCTGCTCAGAATTTCTTATAGCACAATAGTATTCCATTACATTCATGTACCACAACTTATTCAGCCATTCCCCAATTGATGGGCATCCCCTCAATTTCCAATTCTTGGCTACCACAAAAGGAGCTGCTATAAATATTTTTGTATATGTGGGTCCTTTTCCCGTTTTTATGATCTTTTTGGGATACAGACCTAGAAGTGGTATTGCTGGGTCAATAGCCCTTTGGGCATAGTTCCAAATTGCTCTCCAGAATGGTTGGATCAGTTCACAACTCCACCAACAATGCATTAGTGTTCCAATTTTCCCACATCTTCTCCAACATTTATTATTTTCCTGTTTTGTTATGTTAGCCAATATGATAGGTGTGATGTGGTACCTCAGAGTTGTTTTGATTTGCATTTTTCTAATCAATAGTGATTAGAAAAGTCATTTCACATGACTATAGATAGCTTTAATTTCTTCCTCCAAAAACTGTGTATTCATATCCTTTGGCCATTTATCAATTGGGGAATGACTTGTATTTTTATAAATTCGACTCAGTTCTCTATATAGTTGAGAAATGAGGCCTTTATCCGAGACACTGGCTGTAAAAATTGTTTCCCAGTTTTCTGCTTACCTTCTAATCTTGGTTACTTTGGCTTTGTTTGTGCAGAAGCTTTTCAATTTAATGTAATCAAAGTCATTCATTTTGCATTTCATAATGTTCTCTATCTCTTGTTTGGTCATGAATTTTTCCATTCTCCATAGATCTAATAGGTAAACTATTCTTTGTTCTCCTAATTTGCTTATAGTATCAGCCTTTATATCTAAATCATGTACCCATTTTGACTTTATCTTGGTATAGGGTGCAGACTTTCTTTCTTGACAAGTTCCTACTCCAGCCTGACTTCCCATAGAACCTGAAGCCATAGAATAGTGTCTAACCTTTCTCTGAATCCTTTAGAACCAGTTTTCCAAAAACATGAGGCATGTGCCTGATGATTCCTGACTTTTCTCTACCTTTCTATCACAAATTCTGGCCACTTTCTCTCAAATTTCTCATTGTTTTCACACCAGCAGCCAGTCCCTCTGTTAGGTAGTATTCACCTTGATGAAATCATGAATCTTTTGAAGCACTGAAGATATGGGCCATCTTTTCAAGGTTCCTTATCCCCTCTTCCCAGTAGATTATAAATACCTTCAGGGCAGAGTCTAGGACTCCCCCTCCCTGTAAATCTCCCTGCAATGCCTCACACACGACTGGGCATATGTACATCAGAGATCCAGTTAGCGGAGGAGCCAGCGGAGTGCCAGGATTATCATTCCTGGGGCATCCAGGAGATCCCACTTATTGCTGTCCGCTTTTTGTTGGCCACTAACAAGGACTTGCAAGATGGTTTCCTAGCTGACCTGAGACTTTCCTGAGCTGTCAACATTCATTTAATGCTCAGTCCACACCTGACCATCCCTGGTCAGCTGCCACATGGGCCAAACCATTGGGGTTCGTTGTATTTTAAACTTGCCAAACAGAGGCAAAGGTCAAAGACACAGGTACAGGATTCTCCCATTCTGAACTTAACATACAGCGGTGGCCACATCAACCATAAACTCAGCATTGGCCCAGAATAAGAGTCTTTACATATGTAAGAGAAGCATCGCAGACGGCCAATGAACTGGTCCAGGAGCTGAACAGGAAAGGGTGGGATGGAGAGCCTTCAGGAAAGCCCAAAGCTTCTTTGCTGACTCCAAGTTTCCCTCTGAGATGACAGCCCACCTTTTTAAAACCCAAATCCTAGCAGTGTTGCTATATATCAATAAAACCCAAACTACAAAGGTTTCTGAAGAATTAAAATGAGTGTTCCATGAGGACAAAGGTGCACTGTAGAACTAATGAGGAACTTGGAAGAGGAAAGAGGGAAAAGATTTCATTGAGAAAATTTACAAGAGGTAAAGAAGATGTGTCAAGTGCAAAGAGTTACAGGTAGGCCGCCAGAGCACTCCTCTGGTATCCTTGTGATGCTGGGTTAAGAGAAATCAAGGAAGACCTCCAATATTTTCTCCATGACAAAGAAAGACATGAGCTTAAAAAGCAGTCAGTTGGAAAGATGATAAACTTGAGGGATAATAGATAGTCTGTGTGTTCCATTAGGATCTTTGTGATGTCAAGAGAAATAGAAGGGGGCCTCCACCACGTTGGATGGACCCTGTGTGGTAGACTCATGGACTGACACGGATGACCGTCCCAAGGGATGGACAGGCACGGATGCGTTGAAATCTGCAACACCTACATTGATGAGATCCTGCATACACTAGATTATTTGAATATGTAAGTGTCTGCTTTGAACATAGTATATCCTTAGCCAATCAACAAGCATTTATTAAATACTTACTATATATGGAGCCCTGAGCTCAGCTTCTGTGAACACACATACAAGCAGAAAGAAAGATAGTCCCTGTTGGGAAAAGACGTAAAAAGAAACTTACGCCCGGAGAGGTGCTGGGAATGAGGGTATCCTGCAGCCTGGAGAGGAATGAGACCTGACCGGCCTGGGCACCCTCCTTGATTGGAGGTTCTGGAGGGATTCATTGAATCAGAGGAGGCCACAAGGGCCGAGAGTGTGTGAATTTGGGGGGTTTAGAGAGTATCCAGGGGGTATGGTAGAGAAGGTCTGGAGTGCAGCCTGGAGGAAAAAAAAGCTCAGTAAAGGTTAATTGAATGATTTGATACATTTTTATATTAGTCAAAAATAAGTTTAATATGTTGTACAGTTACAAAAGACCCCCAAGACAGCCAATATTCAGTTCCCATTAGAGAATGTCTGGTCAGCTTTGTAAGATTTATAGAATTAAAAAATCTCAAGGTCAGAAGGTTCCTTGGTATCCACTGAGCCCAACATGTATTTCTAATAAGGTTCCTCTAGAACATCCCTCACAAGGGGCCATCCCACCTTTGCCTGAAGCCCTGGAAATTTAAGATGCCCTTTGTGCCATTGTCCAAGTAATTGACAAAATTCTAAGACAGAGCCAAGCACAGGTCCCAGGGTCACTCCATCAAGGACTGCCTGCCAAGCTAGCATGTAAACTCTTGGAGAGGAGAAATAGTTTCATGCTTTGTTTTTGGATTATCAGAACCTAGCAGAGAGCTTGGCACAAAGTAAACACTTAATAAACGCTTACTGATTGACTGGAGTTGACATTGGGGTCAAGTCTGGGCATAAAGCTGATGCTGAATCCACCTAAGGATGGCCACCTTCACCAACGTTGTCTACTTGGTTATCCTGAGAGACATTGCTCCAATCCAAATAGCCTGTCTATGTTACTCCCCCAACTGCTAGTATGAGGCTAGTCCAGCACAGCTATTTCTAGGTTAACCCATGTTGGGTCATACAGAGAGTCACGGTAGAGTGGCAAAGCACAGGATTTAGGAACCCGGCTTCCTAGGATGTGTGTTCCCAGAGGTCCTGAGTTCAAATCCCACTTGTCCTGTCTATATGATTTCACTCTTCTGGGCCTCAGCTTCGTTTTCTGCAAAAAGGGGGGGTGGTTTGGGATAGACTTGGTGACTTCTCAGTTGCCTTCTAGCTCTGAATTCTGTGATGTCTCCAATCCACTCCAAACCAAGCCAAGCCAACAAGCATTGCATGCTGACTACATGTAATTCACCATGCTGGGTGCTGACGCATACAAATAGAAAATGGAAAATAGTCTTTGGCTTCAAGAAACTTACATTCCAGTTTGGGTGGGAGGGAGTAAAACTTGTCAAGGAATGAAGTGAATCAGCATAGTCATATTGCAGCACAGCATCCTGTAGGCGTGGAGGTGCTCAGTAATGCTGGGTAAACAATGAATAGATGGAAGGATGCATGGATGGATGAATGGATGGACAGGCAGGAGGATGAGTGCATGGATAGAAAGATGGATAGTTGGATGGGTGCACAAATTTGTGCACTCACATCCATAAATGCCCGCTTTTATAATCTAGTGGAAAGGCAATGTAGACATGCCAATAGTGATTCTGGGGCTCATTCCTTTAGTTCTGTTAAGACACACATAATGCTCTTTTCAACAGATTAGCAGCAGTGATCTTTTTACCTTGAAAATGGAGGCAAATTGAACATGAATATTGTTTACTTCTCACAGGTTAAAAACAATAAAAAAAACCCCAGACCAAAGCCACAGCACCACAGAAGTTAGTTTTGCTACCTATGAGAGGCGATTGGAATTCTCTCGTAGGTCAGACAAACCAAATAAGGTGTTTAACTAAAAAGGATCCCAAGAAAACATGCACACACAAGCACAGAAAGGTACTGAACCTGACCACATTTTCACAATCACACCTCTAAAAACCCTCTGACACCAGCCCTTCACGCATGCAAGTTTTCCGGAGTGAAAGGCTGTTTGCAGAGAAGAACCTTGCCTATCAAAAGAGAGGCTCTCCACCATGCATGAAGAAAAAAAGAAACTAAAATGTAATTCAAACATTCATTCTTACACTTGGTCTATTAATGATATTATTGTTGAAACTGAGGGAAGAAATCATATTTCAAAAAGAAAAATTCCCTTCTATTCCCAGTGCAGTTACCCAGCAGCAGGTAAAACAGAGTCAATAAACTCTCATAGAAGGATGGGTGGATTGATTTGCTTCTAACTTTCTATTTTAGCCCTTCTCTCCAAAGTCATTGTCCAGAAGAGTTTCCTTGGAATGGAACCAGCTTTTATGGATGTCTGTCCAAACAGTAAATCAGTTCACATACTTTAAGAATCAGCCCTCCATTGAGGCAACAGAGGAGATTAGCACTAACATTGTTTCCTATATATTGTTGCCATTATCCTTTGAGCTCACACTCAGCATCCCTCCATTGACCACTCCCATCCATTTACAGTGGTTTCCCACATCTACTAGCTCTTAATGACTCCTTGCTCTGGAGTTCACTATTTCAATCTCCAGCGTGTGGTTGGCTATAAAGGGAAGCCCATAAAGCAGAATCCTCTTTCTTCTCACCTCTTGCCCCCTTGCAGAGATGTCCACACTAATAGAGAAGGCAGATTCCGTCATTATTCAGCTACAACAGAAGCCAAGCACTTGTCTCTTTTCCCCCTTTCCAGGCAATAGAAATCCCACCACTGGACTTTTGTCTGCAATGCTCCTCTGTGTCACGGTGGTGTCTGCACTTTTCTTGACTGTGATATTTAAACAGTCACTCAGAGTCAGGTAAGTGTATCCAGGATTTATCTGGTCAATCCTCCTACCACAGCCCTGCCTCTAACTTCAGGTCACCCCAAACACCCAACTGATGTCTATCTACACAAGACCAAAACATATTTGGTTGGTCAGGCAATTCTATGAAAAAAAAATCTAATCAATCACCTAGACATTTTGGCTACATATCCAACAACTGCTTTGACTTTTCCTACCCAACTGCCTGAATGGATTATTTTCTTAAGTTGACTCAAATGTAGCAATCAAAAAATTTCTAGTAGGTGCCTATTCTGTGCCAAGAAACTGCTAAGCACCAAGGATTCAGTCCTTGCCCTCAGAGAGCTTATATTCTATTAGAACAGACCACCGGTACAAGTATAGACAGAATAAACACAACCTGACAAAGCATAGCTTAGACCATCATCAGCATCAATGTTTTCATCATCTGAAATGCACAGGGCTCTGGTCAGCTGAGGGACTGCATCCCCAGCTTCAATGACTCTTATTTATTTCCTCTTTAAACAAACCACCACCTGTATGTTTTTCTAAGTTTTTCCATCAAGAAAGTACAACTTTATTAAATTTCTTTCCCTGTTTGCAAATGAAAAATGTATTTTAAAACATTAAACCAACAACAACGAAGAGGATGTGGCCAGATCTTGGTAGGAACACTTGGGATGGTCAAATTGAAGATGGCCCCAGCTACTGACCCATTCTTTGGTGTTCTTGTGCTTTCTATGGTTTTTCGGAATGTATTTTACATTACTATCCTGTTCAAAGCACCACCATCATTTCTAAAAGGAAATGCGATTTCTGGAGGTTTGGGCAATAAACTTAGAGCCGTGGTAGGGGGAGGGTGGAGAGTCAGAGAAGAGAAAGGAAAGGAAGAAGGGAAGACGGAGTGAAAGTGTAGGGATCTTCTAGTATGGTGGAGGCAAAGGCAACATCCTTAATACCTAAAGAGGAAGTGGGTCAGTTCATTGTGAAGGCCAGCGCCCATACTGGCAGTCTCTTGAGTACATATATAAGTATTCTGCTACTCACTATGTGCGTCCGTGAGGAAGTCACTCGCCAAACTTGGTTCCAAAGCCAGGGCCTCAGTTTCTTTCTTGGTAGAACAGAGATAATCCTATTTATACTAGCTCCCTCTTGGAGTCGCTATGAGGAAAGTAAACAGAGGGGGTTAGACTTTGTGCTCTTTGAGGATTGGCCAGAGGAATTGGGACCTCCTAGCTCAGGGAAAAGAAGCCTGGGGGGTGGAGAGGGGATGGTGGGGCCAGATGATAGGTGTCTACATGTACGGGAAGACCTGCCATTTAGAGGAAGAATTAGACTGTTCTGCCTCCCCAGAGTCAAGACCAGGAGGGATGGGGGAAATGCAGATAGGACGGTTTTGGCTTGATGTGAGAAAATCCTTCCCAGCAGCTATCCTACTTGAGAATGGGCTGCCTTCACGAGCAGGGGGACCTCTCTCCCTGGAGGTCTTTAAGCAGAGGCTTCTTGTTGGGTGTCAGGTGAGAGGGGCATCTCCTGTCCTCAGATTAGAGGCCTCAGAGATCTCTTCTATAATAACACACCAAGCATTAAATGACCCAGAGAGAATCATATTCACAGAGCTGTGAAGAGACAGGCTCAGAACCTGCTCCATCATTTCAGGCTGCCTTTAATTAAGCCCGGCAAAGCCCCGGGAGACTTTGTCCTTAACCATACTCTACATAAAATCATTAACAATTGTGTCACGAAATCAAGGATTCCCAGTTAGCCGCAGCGGGCAAATAGGAAAACGTGTCAGCAAAGACCAACCTGCATTTGGCCAGGAGAGGTACAGGGGTGGGGCAGGAAATGTTTTTGAATTTATTAATACGTTTCAAAAGAGAGAGAGAAATGAGATTCTAAAGCCAAGCTAATTGTTATACATAGGAACATATCCTGTTATTCAGTGATCAGCGTGGAAAACATTTCACGTAATGGGAGGAGAGAGTGGGGGGCCGTGTTTGGGACCTTCTGAGCTGCCAGTGTTTTGTCCTAAAGCTGCTGGTCACGTTCCGTCCTTACCAATTGATAGGCATCTGTAGAACATCAGTACCCCTGCACGGTCTGTGCTCTGTGTGGGGGACACAAGGCCAGCAGCCAGGCAGCCTCTGCCCTCGGGAGCTTACAGTCCAGATGGGTGAGAGAACACCCACATTTTGTGGGAATATACAAAGTGTGTTCCCGGCAGATACAAGGCGATGGGGAAAGGGGGAAGCAGGTGGTGGGGGAAGATTAGGAGCAAGGTTCATAGTCTGGGATCAGGGAATTTTTAAAGTTAATATTTTGATAACTATTTGAAGTCTACATGCATTTATCAAGCACCTACTGTGTCAGCTGCTGTGCTAGACTCTGGGAGTACAAAGAAAGGCAAAAAGCAGCCCCTGCCCTCAAGGGGCTTCTATTCTAAGGGGGGAGGTGCAGCAAGTAGCAGGGTGCCTTAACCAGGGGCCCATAAATATAGTTTAAAAATAGTTCAAAGGGGAAAGGAGAAGGGGACAAGTACTTCTGTCTGTTATGTGCCAGGCCTTGTGCTAAGCACTTTATAAATATTCTCTCATTTCATTCTCACAACAACTCTAGGAGGTAGGTGCTATTATTATCCCCATTTACAGTTGAGGAAACTGAAGCAAACAGAGGTTAAGTGACTTACCTAGGGTCACACAACTAGTAAGTATCTGAGGCTGGATTTGAACTCTGGTCTTCCAGATTCCAGGCCCAGGGTTCTGTGCGCTATTGCACTATCCGGCTAGTAACTGTATTTCAACACAGCTGGTTTCCTTTGTAATCCGATATATTTTATTTTGTGCATTTAACCATGTTATTCTGAGGAGTGGTCCATAGGCTTCACCAGACCAACTGCCCTCCGGGTCTGTGACACAAAGACATTGAAGAATTCTTGTTGTGGAAGGTGATTCTTAGGCTGACCCTCGTAGGAACTCAGGATTCGTGAGAGATAGAGCTGAGGAGGAAGTCCAGGAGATGGAGCATCATGTATGAGGGACCGCAAGAATGTCAGCCTGGCTGGGCCTCTAATACTCAGCAGCTAAGTGTCACCATGGTGCACAGAGCTCTGGGCCTGGAGACTCACTTCCCCGAGTTCAAATCTGGCCTCAGATACTTACTAGCTGTGTGACCCTGGGCAAGTCACTTAACCTGTTTGCCTCAGTTTCCTTATCTGTAAAATGAGCTGGAGAAGGAAATGGCAAATGACTCCAGTATCTCTGCCAAGAAAACCCCAAATGGGGTCAATGAAGAGATAGATGCGACTGAACTAGTACTAATATTCCTAACAGCTCTCATTCCTATAGTACCTCAATAAAGTGCTTTTCTCATAATAACCCCGTAATGTAAGGGTTTATAGATATTGTAGGTATTATATTATTATAGGTATTATTATCCCTATTTTGCAGATGAGAAAACTGAGACCCAGAGAGTCTAAATGAATTTACAGATAGCTCAGTAAATGTGAGTGTGAGCATCCCTACCCAGGCCACCTTGGACTTCCCAGTTTAACCCTCTTCCTGTGATACCATCATATCTGAGTAGAATTGAATCAGGCAATCCGTAGCCAGCTCCTTCTTATGATATTTCATGTGGGGTGCTGTTGCTGGTTTTTTTTTTTAAGAATTAAAAGGCGACTCCTATTGTTCCTACCAAATTGGCTTCATGAAGACGTCCCCAATGTGAGGAATAGTTGTGCTATGAAAACCTTACAGGTAAGCGTTGCCAAGAGCTGATGATGGTTGGGGGAGGGAGAGGGAATCACTGGGGATGGGGGATGGGGTGGGGGAAGGTCAAAATTGGGATAACTTTTCTGTTGAAAATGTTTGCTTAAAAACTAACATCTGGTTCCGAAGGAGGCAAAGGTAAGCAGGGCAGTGTTGGAACAACTATTAAATTTGAAATAAATGATGCTCCCAACAGAAACCCAAGCTAAAGGTATTGGAAATTCATGGTTTCATATCATAGAATCATAGATTTAGAGCAGGGAGGGAACTCACAGATCACTGAGCTCCTTCATTTCCCAGAGAAGGAAACTGAGGCCCAGGGAAATGAAGCATTCAAGGTAGTGAGTGTCAGAGGTGAGATTTGAACTCAAGGCTACTGAGTTTAGCGCCACTGCTCTTTCCCTGTAGATACGCAATCCTTTTTTTTTTCTTGCACAGGGAAGTATTTGTGTTTGTAAAGTTTATAACGTTAAAAAGACAGATAGTTTTGTATGATTAACAACAAAGTACCCTGAATATACAAACATGTAAAAGGGACATGAAGGGACAGTGGTTACAATAAAGACTGTTGGGTGGGCCAGAGTTTGAGTCCCTTCTCTGACTCCTCTTGGCTGTGTCCTCCTGGACAAGTCACCTCTGGCCCATCAGCTCTCTAAGACTACACAGTAAAGAGCACGTACCAATGAGTCCAACAGTAATGAGGCACCTTGTATGTACAATGTATGTGTAATATATGTAGCGCATACATTAAATGTATGGCTAAATCACCTCGGGTGGGGAACCTGCAGCCTCCAGGCCACACGTGGCCCCCTAGGTCCTCAAGTGCGGCCCTTTGACTGAGTCCAAACTTCACAGAACAAAACCACAAATTAACATTATCTATGTTGCATTGTATTTTTGTTTACTCGTTAAATATTTCCCAATGACATTTTAATTTGGTCAGGGAGCTCACAAGGAGTATTGCAGGCCTGGACATAGGTGACCTCTGAGGTGTCTTCCAGCTCCAGATATAGGATCCTATGTGAGAACTTGGACAAATCACTTAACATCCTTGGGCCTCAGTTTCCATACCTGTAAAATGAGGGGGTTGGCACAATTCCAGAGGACCCAGGGTGATGCATACTACAACAAGGAAATTTGTTGTGTTTAACTGTGCACATTTATTACAAAGGTTTGGCCTTTCTTTTTTTCTTATTTTTCTTATGGGAGAGGGAGGGAGGATGGAAGGGGGACAGAAAGTGTTTTTGTTAATTAAAAAAGGATATTAAATGTAACCTAATAAACTAAACTAAAGTGAGAGGGTAGAAGTCCCTGCCGTCTGAGGCCCCGCCAGCTCCAGCCCTGAGCCATGCATCCCTCTCGTGGCTGCCATGCTTCTCTCCACCATGAGGCCGGGAAGGCCAGTATCCCCTGAAGGGGCATATGGTGGGTGGTATCTCTCCAGCCACCCTGAAATTAGGCTGTGCCTCCTTCCCCAAAGACACCATAGGCAAGCTACATATTATCTAATTCTTCTGTTTTATAACATCACCATTAATAATAAAGATAGCTACAATCACTTAGTATGTTAATATTACCAAGTGCTTTAAATGCATCGTCACATTTGGTCCTCCCAAGAACCCAGCAGGAGGTCGTCACCTACAGGTATTGTCTCTACCTGGAATGTAAGCAGGTATTCCAACGTGGTTTCCCCCATGACTGGGGAAAGGGAGTCAAACACAGAATCCCCAGTTACATAAAGATGAAGAGGCTGAGGTTCAGAGGACTTCCCTGATTTCTCCATGGTCAGAAGCCAATGAGTATCTACAGCCAATGAGGCTGGAGATGAACCTAATTTTCTTTTGATTTCCAGGACCACATCCTCTACCAGGGGCCAGCAAAGGACCACTCACAGTGCTGATAGAGAGAGCTCATGGGCTCACGGGCTGTGCAGAAACAGATCCTAGGCTGGGGATGGCCCTCAGGCCAGAGTCTGCTGACTGACCCCTGTCCTATGCCAAGCCCCTTCTCATTTCATCTCACATCATAACCAAACCCAACCACGATGGAGCAAAATGCCTTGGTCATTGTTTTAATGATAAGATTTTGTTCAAAGGGAATTCACCCATCCCTATTCATCTTTTGCCTAGCTCTGTATTTAAAGAGGGAGACCCAAAAGTGCATTTGTAAGATGTTAAAGCTTCAAACTGCACTGAGACTTTTTGGGATGCCCTATATGTGTATGTGTATGTGTGTGTGTGTGTGTGTGTATGCATATATGTCCGTGTGTGTATATAATGTATGTGTTCATATATGTACACACACATATATAACAGAAGTGCTAGATTAATATTCGGTGTATTAGATAACAAAAATAGGAGATAAGGAAGTGAAATAAAATGAAGAAAAGGAATGAGAAAGGAAAAGAGAGGCTAAGAGAAAGCAGAATGGAGGCAGAATTCTGGTCTTCTGCTCAGCTTTCTATTTTGGACTTCTTACATTGCTTTCGCGTAAATCATGTACTTTTTTTCTCTTCTAGGAAATAAGTGAATTTATCATGAATAATTCCAGAGAGTCATCCCTTGACCCAGATCCAATAATCACGGAGATAGAGGAAATCTATCTCCAAAAAGAATTCCAACCCATGCACTCTCAACTGGAAACCACAGCAGAGTTGGTGGCTATTGGGGAGGACCCGCATATCTCGCCGTTTGTGGATGTGACCGTGGCTTATCTCCCTGACCCCAGCACCGGCTACAAACCGCAGATCTCCAGTGTGCTCCCTGTGGAGCGCCCCCCCTGTGAGATCAGAGACCTGAGAGTCTCAGCCTTTGAATCCCAAGTCATTCCTTTGAGTTTGGGCAAGAACGTGGTGATCAGAAACTGTCCGAGCCCAGTTTTCTCCAGCACCAGCACCAATGTTGGGAGGGACCTTTTTTCCCTGGAAGAAAGATGCCTCATCTTTGACCCCAATGAGAGTGGGTCAGTGGAAGGGCGAGAGGAAACTGAAATGGAGGCCTTGATGACCTTGGAAAAGCAACCGTCCAGGGAAAGTCTTCCAGAGCAGACCCTGCTGCCTGATGATCTGGTTTCCTGTTTGAGGGCCAGGGGGGAGAAGGACTCCCCAGATGTCCGCCCTTATTTTCCACAGAGGTTTGGAGGGCCGTTTCCATAGGATTTTCCCCTTTCAGTAGGAAAGGTTTTGTCTCATTTGGAGCCAGCCACCCCAAGTGGGTTCTATTGAAGTTATTGCCTGAAGCCTGGTCTTTGTCTCGATGCTCATGGTCATTAGGAGCAAAGGTGTCAGTCAGGGAGGCCCCAGGTGCTTTCCTTTCTGAGCTACCGTCTTCTTTGCATTGAAAACAGCTCCTTCCCATATGTGAATAACCAGTGTAAGATACCAGCTGAAAACAAGGATATGGGTACCATACTGATAAGGCATTTGGATGCTGAAGGGGATGCTGGGACCTTGCCAGTCCAGACCACTCCTTCCCATGGAGCACAACTCTCACAGGAATCTCTCCACAGAAGACCTTCCCAAAGCTCTGGATATCATCCTCTGACCCTTTTACTATACTGTGGCCATTAGTGAAATACTTAGGTTTTGCATCTGTTATCCCTGACCTTGCTATGGGACTGGCACATTCCACCTCCCTTTCTGAACCCATATGTCCAGATGGCTTTTGCACCATTTCTCAGATGCCTCTGGTAACTTATACACAATGGGCATATTTTCCCTTTTGGTCACCTGTAAGAGATCGTCTTCTGGGTCACCTGAACCTTCTGAGATCATCATGTTCCATGGTTCAGAGATGGTTCCAAAGGCATCCTCCAACCTGGCTGTCAAAAAGATGGGGAGCTCTAGGTCGTTGAAAATCCTGCACACTTTCTTAAAGGTAATCTATCCATCTCAACTTCTTTCTCTGTTTCCATTTTGGGCCGAGCTCATCATCCATATGTAGCATCTCCCTCAAGATGCTGGTACTGATGGAGCAACCCAGTGGGTTGTCTACCTGGCTGTATGTCATCATCATCATCATCATTATCATCATCATCTTCTTCATCATCATCATCATCATCATCAAGGTCTTTGTCATCATTTGTCATCATTACAGCGATAATTTATGTCTCGCTTTTATGTTGGTTGACAAAACATTTGATATGTTATCTCACTTGATCCTCATGACAGCCCTGTGAGGAAGGTGCTATTATACCTTTATTATACAGTTATCTCTTCCACATCATGGGGGTTAGGGCACAGTGCCCCCGTAATCTGGAAAATCTGCATAAAATTTTTGGCCCTCCCTTCATACCAGAGAAGAAATCTGAATTATTGTGGTATTAAAAGAAAAAATATGTTGATATACATATATTTTATGCATTTCTGAGTCTCTAAACTTTTTCTGTGTCATCTGCTGGCCTTTGCACGTTGTTCTGCAAAACTTTCAAAAAATTCCCATTTAATTTCTTATGCCTACCCACAATATATCAAAACTGCGATGGGAAAAGTCACAATGTGGAAGGGATAACTGTACCTATGTGCCTTTTTACAGATGAGGAAACTGAGGCTGAGAGAGTTTAAATGACTTTCCCAGGGTCCCACAGCTAGTAAGTGCCTGGCAAATAGTAGGTGCTTAACAAATGCTTAAGGGTAGCTAGGTGGTGCCGTAGATAGAGTGCCAGACCTAGAATCAGGAAGACTCAGCTTCCTGAGTTAAAATCTAGCCTCAGATACTTACACGCTGTGGGACCCTGGGCAAGTCACTTAACCCTGTTTGCCTTAGTTTCCTCATCTGTAAAATGAGTTGAAGAAGGAAATGACAAACCAGTTCAGTATCTCTGCCAAGAAAACCCCAAATGGGGTCATGAAGAGTAGGACATGACTGAAAATGACCGAATAATAACAGATAAATGTTTGCTGACTTGTTGACTTGATTTGAGTAAATGACTGAGTAGTATCATCTTCTGTGCTACCCAGGAGCCACTCTTCATCTAGCAAACAAAAAATGCTCGTTCTCTTTTAACTTTTATAGAATCTCTGTTCTGGAAGGCCTTTTTCTATGATGCTTGTCCACTATGGCATAAAACGGAGCCTGATACTCACCAAAGGTGCTCACCAGTGTCAGAGAACACCTGCCCAAAGGCCCAGACGAAGAGCCATTCCCCTCTGCGGAGGTCCTCCGCTTACGCTGTGGCTTGCCAATGACATTGTGCCACCTGGACTGGGCTCTGGAACACTGGTAGGTCTCCTCAAGGAGATGGATGGTCAAAGCCCCTCAAAGGAGATCAACTCAATCATGCACACATGAAAAACAACGCGGATGCTAAAAGCAAGTATTTTAGGTGATTGTGTATTTACATCTATGTACGTATTTATATGGAAATCTCCCATGGGGAGATCTATATCTAGAAGATCTATACACACAGATCTATACCTAGAAGGGACCTCAGAAACCATCTAATCCAACCCCTTCATTTTACACATGAGGAAACTGAGGCCCAAGGACATAGAGTCACCAGGGAGTATGGAGGAGGATTTGATTCCAGGTCCTCTGACTTCAGTCAGTGCTCTTTCCTCTGTTGCCACACTACCCCTCTTTTCCTCTTTTAGTGCCCACAGCTCTGTGCAGAAGACAAGTGTTTCAATGATCCATACCCATAGGGTTGGAGCCCAATGATTAACAGCTACAAACCATGCTGCTAAGTTCTATTTCCCCCTCTTTTCCATTTAGCTATAATTGGACCCATTGTTCTTTGTTGACTTCTAATGTGACTCACAGGATCAGGGAGGAAAGAGTGTGGAGGAAATTATTAGTGTTGCCTTTTTGCATTTGAGTGGTAGGAGATGGTTTTCCTCTGCCCTGCCACACTTGGTCACCATGCCACATACATCAATTCCTTTCCCACCCCCCACACAGAAAACATTCCCTAAGAGTTAGCAGGTATAGTCACATTAGAGCTGTGGTGATTCCTGGCTATGCACAATGTTCTTTAGCTTGGACCTCAAGAAATTTTGGGATACTCTACTATTCTCTCTAGGCTAAAATTCAGGAGGGCATCCTTAGAAATATGAAGTATATTTTTTAAAAGTGTGACTCCAGATTACTGAAAGAACTTAAAAATTCATTCCTATAAGAAAACAGAGAAAACAGAAGATGGTAAGATATGGGCTAGACACTAGTACAAGTAGGTGGATCATTGGGTTGAATAGCAAAGATGCCATCTTGGAAGGATCTCCAGAAAGGGGACTAAGAGATCAGTGATTGGCCCAGAACTATTTAGCATTTTTTTTTTAATCAATGACTTGGATAAATCCATAGATGATGACACAGTTGAAAGGGTCAGTAAGACATTGGATGACAGAGCCAAAACATTGGGTCTAGTAAAATAAGATGAAATGTAATAGGTGTAACCACTGTGGGGTGCTATCTGGAAGGGTTTGGTAGTTTAGATGGAAAAGCAGGGTAGGAAGGAAGCGATCATACCTCCCTCTTCTTCAGCCCTACCTTTTTCAGGCTGGCCAGATTCTTTCCTCAGTTCCTTCCTTAGATGGCCCCAGGGGCATAACTCTCACTTAGTCAATGGTTCCTACTAGGTATCAGCTCTTGGTGTCATCAGAATGTATTGCCTAGAAAAGGACAATGGGGGGGAGGAGGAATGAGCTCTACCGGGGGCTATGCTGTCTCTGAGAAAAGCATCTTGAATTTTAAGAAATCTGATAGGCCACCTAAGTCCATGTACTAAGCTAAATGACTGCCAAGTCATCTGGTTCATCTTCTCCGCCATTTAGGAGCTTATAAAAGTCGTTTCCAAGTCCAAACCATAAAATTTCCCCTCCTTCAGCTCAACTCCCACTAAGGGGGTGCAGGAGTGGGGGTGGGGGAGGAGAACCACTTAGCATTTTGGACTGAGATTTAAACCTCTGTCCTGTTCAGTTCTGTGTTCTCTAAACTATTTACTGACTTTAATTTCAATCTTCCCTGTGTGCAGTTAATAAAAGACATGAATTATACAGTATAGGAATTATGACTGGTCATAGTTACTTATGAAAACATCAAAAATTACAACAGCTTAAGAAACAGAGGAATCATGTGATAAGGTTGCTAGTCCTTCTGGGCATGGGGGAAGAGGGAGGTGGGGGGAGTCAGGCTTCACTGTTCTTCACTCTTAAGGACCAATGACAGACAGCCATTTCACCCCCTTTTCAGGAGTTTAGAGAGTAGGAGACGTAAACAGGGAAGGGATCTCAGAGCACCAATACCCCCAGCTTTGTTCGCCACTTAAAGCATCCACTGGAAAATCTGTATCTCTCTGATGGGCGGACCTCCATCCCATGGCTGCCAGCCCCTTGGCTCTCTCAAAATCTGAAACTCCAACTGAATTGAGTCTCCTGAGTCCAGGACTTCCTGAGTCCAGGTCCACTCTAGGCCATCTACTCTACCAACCAAGGTCCATTCATGGGACCTTTCTTAGGGCAAGTATTCTTTAAAAAGTTGACAGTTTCATATACAATTTTCTTTTTGGTCCTTTGTGTACTGAAATATTCGTTGTTTTTGATAATTATTAAGTTCATAATAAAAATGCAATTTTTAAAAAAGGGAGAGAAAAGGGCTGTTTGAACCTAGAGGGCAGACCTGGTAGCTGTTGGTAGAAGTGACCAGAGAAGGAGATGAGTTTCTGTGCAGGGCTGTGCTGAGGCCATCTCCAGCTCTAACTGGCTAGAGACATCATTATTAAATGTCCAGCATGCATACCTTGGAAATACCAACACAAATTGGGCTTTGATGCGTTTGTTTTGTTGATTGCCCAGACTTCAGAAAGTGATGGAGAAAATGTTAACAATGCATATTAAACTTAAAAACTGACTGTTTGTTAAACATTTACCAGGACACTCCTGGGTGTAAGGAAAAGCTTCTTGAGAATTAACGCTATACAAAGAGACCCAAAAAAGAAAGAGGGAAATGACCCATATGTACAAAAAATATTTATAGCAGCTTTTTTTATGGGCAAAGACTTGGAAACTGAGGGGATGTCCATGTATTGGTTAAACAAATTATAGCATATTAATATAATGGAATATTATTACACCACAAGAAATGATGAAGGGAATGATTTCAGAGAAACCTGGGAAGACTTGTATGAACTGATGCAGAGGGAAGGGAGCAGAGCCTGGAG